CCAACCAAGTGCCTGGCGCTGCTGTGATAGGATGGTATGATCAGGAGCAGTTCTTTGTATCAAAGCGTGTCTCCGGTCTGCTGCGTGGACACAACCACGCCACTGGACGTGACCGCATTCCACTTCCGGATTTTCAGGACGGGGCCTGGATGGACTTCGCGTCGGTGTTTTCTTTCATCAAGAGAAGGTATTCCCGATCCCTCACAGTGTCGGACTTGATTGACATCGTGACCTCAAACCATAGGTTTATGCTCGATGTGCAACTTGCCCGCGAGGGGGAACTCTTCGCCGGGAAATACCGTTTCTTGCCGGTGCGAATCAAGGCGATCCAATCTCACAACGACTGGATCCTGGAGAACATCAACATGGCGTGGCCCCAGATCGACAGAATCATCTGCCTCGATCCGTCGTTCACGGTCGAACGCCTATTGCGGAAGGAGCATCCAACGCTCCCAGTACGGCTTGACCTGCGCACCAAGGACGTTCACCCCAAGATTTTGTACCACTACACTCATATTGCCTTTGCGGGTGATGTGATCCGGTGCGGCATTTGTCCGGGGGGACTCAGGACTAGCAAGGCTCATTCGTACTTCTCGGCCTTCGATCCGTGGAGCATTCAGAAGACGAGTCAGGCAGGAATGGCTTCGACCAGGCCCATTGCAATTGCCGTCGACGTTGAGATGGCGGTGTCATATGGGATCAGATTCGCCGTCGCTCAGAGCCAGGCTGTTGGGACTACTGATTGGGTGCCAAATCAGTTCCTCATCTATGCGTATGACGTGTCAGCGAAATGCTTCATCTATGCGAACCATGACTATGCAAAGGAGAGAGCCTCGTTCAATCAGGGCCTCCGAGACATTGTCTTGCGTCGCCGGGAACGGCTTGACCGTGGTGAAGAAGCAGACGACAACGCGAGGAAGCAGTCGTTGCTGGCAAGGTCAAGATGGGACCTGTTCGGAAAGTATGAGAAATGGGTGCACGGAGCCTGGGTGGAAAACGCCTTCATTCTCGAATCGTACAAGCGTGAGTTTTGTAAGGATCAGCTCGAGCATGCAGATGCCAATATCGGAACGTACTCCACTCCATACATGGCAATTGCATGGCAGCCGGAAGGCGATGCCACGAACAACTCGGCATGGCCTCTATATCGCTGGGATCGGTTGATTGGGCGCGCTGGACCCCTGAGATGGAGATGCGCTACGATCCTCGAGGAAATGAGAAGTTCTTCACCTCACGGTGGATCACTGTTCGACAGCATGATGTTGAGCCACAGTACTGTGCCGACTGCAATTCCGATTCTCCGTTCGGATGTTTGTCGCGCTTGAATTGTGGACGACATGCACGCGTTGCTACAGATTTGCGAAAGGCTTCACTCCTTGTCCGTCTTGAGAACTTAGCCGCGAGCTTCGGTTTCGACTTGTCGTTGGGCATGTTTCCGGATGACGACATTCGTGCGCGGGGGGACCGTGGGCTGAGGAATCCTGCAGGTGGTAGGATCAGGACTGGACAATCTGCCATCGCGACGATCCGAGCACATGCCAAATCGCACATGGACAAGACGAAGAAATTGGAATTTGGCTCGCTCACAGAGCGTTTGTGCTTGGATCCGTTCTACGCGTTCAACTGCGCGGCGCAGGACATGTCCCCTGACTGTTTGAAGTTTTTGCAACGACTCAGTTCAGCGGTATTGCCCATCCCGACGCGTACCGCCCAGCAAATCCAAGACGGGGTAGGTGTCAATGTGAAAGCAAAGATCCTTATGATCCCCGACACAACCCAGCGCGAGGTCGACGTGTCGAATGAGGTCTTTGTGTTCTGGGAGAACAAGATCCTACGCCCTGGTGTCTTTGTTGGACTGTACTCGATGGAGAGCAATCGCTTTGAGGTCTTGGGTTTTTCCGGATCATTCCTCTCGGAAGAGAAGGACGTTGAGAAGCTCAAAACGGAGTTCGTTGGCTGGCTGTCATCTGACCTCCAGAGCATTCCGTCCTACGAGAACCTCGTACGCGCAGATCCACGAAACATTCACGTACCGGAGAGGGAGGGTGTCGATCGTGTGAGGGGAAAAGGTAAGGGTACATGGCGTCACGGAGGCCGACCGGCTCGTGAGAACGCACCTTACCCCAGAAATCGATGGGCCCGTGATTGGAGGGACCTCGATGATGACGTTGGCACCATTCCAGGTTGGCATTACGCAGATTGGACATGGTACCAAGACAACTACGGAGCGGATTGGTGGCGTCGAGGACGATGATCTCCACCAATGCACGGCGGGAGCCGATGCCGTACGGCAGTTGTGCAATTCTTTTCATCCAATGCTTGTGGTCGCGCATTACCTCATTTGGTGTCGAGATGCTCTCAAAAGCCTTTGCGCGCTCTGCGGAAGCAGTAGCCTCACGCTTACCTTCTTTGAGGCTGTCCGCATTCTTTGCGAGGCTCAAATTCGTTTTGCCGAAGTGCAATCTTCCTGAAAGGAAGCATCACTCAGCATGCCACGTGGAAACGTGTGCCTACGTAGAAGGCCCATTTCCAATTTGACGAGCTGTGGATGCGTGTGAAAAGCGCTGCGTCCGATCTTCAATCGTCCGTTCGGCAGTTGACTTAGTAGCTTAGTTGAGTTAATCGTCGTTCCCTTGCGCCTCAGGTCGGCAAAGAATCTATGAAAGCCATAGGCGCGTACGGTGTTAAGCATGAGGGAAACACCGGGGAACCGGAGGTCAGAAAGGTATGCACGTTGTCCCATGTACATAGTCGTGTATATAGTTCTTCACTACCTTGCTGACAAGTGCGTTCAGCGTGTATTTGCACGATAGTACACTTGTACATACCACATTGACCTCTGTGTTTGGCTCAAGAAAAGGGCCCTCTACATGTTGGTACTTGTAGGCTGTTGGCCTGTAAATTCAGTATGTGTGTACTTCACCTTCATGACAAAGGATGTTCGCTTGGAATACACGAGTCGCTTGTCATGGTCGTGACGTCGTTTACTCTCAGGTCGCCCTGTTCGTGGAAACTTCAGTGTGACATGTACGTTCTTCAGTTCTAATTGAACCTCTTCAGCGTTGTACTTGCACAACTAAGGTTGACGTTGCGCTGCCGTTGCATCGACGCATCTACGTCTACGCCCCCTCACCTCTCTACATTTACATCTTCACATGCTCACATCCGCAGATCTACCTCTCCACCTCACCACACCCACACATCTGCACATCTATATCACATCTGTAATCTGTACATCCACACTGTCGCTCCTTCACATCTGTCCTGTCTTTCTTTTTTTCTTTCTTTCTTTCTTTCTACGTATCTTTTCTCTCGTCTCTGTGCATTTACATCTTCGCACGCTCACATCCACGGATCTACCTCTCCACCTCTATACATCTACAGATCTATATCGCACCTGCGCATCCACACTGTCACTCCTTCACATCCACCCTCTCTTTCTCTCTTTCTATACATCTTTTCGACAGTGCTGGACAATTACATGTCTCGCTCTCGGGCCAACCGTCGTCCAGTTCTTTCTTGTTTAGCTGTAGGGCACACCGGGAAACCCCATGCCGGAATCGACATGGAAAAGCAAATCGTAGTTGTGACCAGCCGACATGCCCCCAACCGCCAGAAAGCCAGCAATGAACACAAGACTTAAATCTATTCAAGGACCAAAGTCACGCTTTACATACAGTAAGCCACGACGTGAATGACAAACAACCGCAGCAGCAGCAGTATCAAAATGATTGGCGTTGAGTGGCCAGCAGCTTGCAACTTTTGCCAGATGCCCGCATGTCTTGGACAGCAGACATGCGTTAAGGACTCACTATCAACACTCCAAGACCAATGGCCTGGAGTTTCAGCTCCATTGCAATCATCGTCGTTAGCTGCAAGAACTGGAAAACTCTCATCCAGCTCTAGCCGGCCATTCATCCACCTACCTTTCTCAAGTGTTGATTATTTTCTTCCCGAACCTTAACTTTTTGTCAATGTTTCTGCAGGTTTTAGTAAAGGAAATGCCGTGATTCCAGTCATTTGTACATACAGACAAGTGTTCGTCAAAAAGTTGGGGTTCCGACGTCGTACTGCTGAATGTGGGGAAGCTAGATGTGTGGGGCCAAGCCTGTTTTGGAAACACACATGGATTTGTTTGGGGTTTAGATTTTGTCAACAATGACCAAAAGAGAGTTCAGGCTGGGCATTTGAGTCAAATGTTTCGTTCTTTGTTTACTGTACATCGTATTTAAATTCGGTTTTTTGTCTCAACTGTCTCAACATTTCATGCCTCAAACCGCACAAACTACTTATATAGCTACTTGCTAGCATTGTGCAGTTGACCGGATTGCTGTGCACTTAGTCAAACCCAAATGGAGTGTGTACCTGTTGGCATTTTCACCTTGACGGCGCAGTGTAAATCAGCATGCCGTCTAAACCAGAACAGTTTGAACTTGCAACAAACTCCTTTGAACGCGTAAAAGTCATTTTCTGTGAACCCCTACTATGTAACAGCTATTCACTACTTGTACATGTCTATCTATTTAGCTACGGTTCACTAAGGCATGTAAAACACATGCTGCAACCGTTGCTCTTGGCTCAAGAAAAGTGAGCGCCCGCTTGCTTTTCTTCAGGGTGCCGGGTCTGCCAACCTGTGGTTGGTATTCCCTTTCGTTGCTTGTGCTTCCGCACCCTTCGCGCACTTTCGCTGCCTTCGCATCTCCGTTCGTTCGTTCGCCGTCGTGCTTTCGTTCGTCCGGCAATTCGGCACTGTCCACCACGGGTACTCGTCCCTCCAATCGTAGGGTTCTTGTTCCCGTCGACCGTGCCGCTAGGGATTTAGCATACCACTTCTACTTCCTCCCGGTAGATAGAATAAGTTGGGCTATCCCTTACCTTCCCAATAACTTGTGGATTCAATTGTAAAAGTGAGTAAAGTAAACTTCTAGCGATGGCCTCCACCTAAAAGCGATGGCCTCCACCTAATAGCGTTCCTTTAGAGAGAGAGAGAGAGAGACCGCGAGAGAGAGAGAGAGAGAGAGAGAGAGAGAAAGGCATACGTATTGAAGACAGAATTGACATGTGTAGGTTCAGCACCAAATGCAAACAGAGCACGCACACGCACGGACACGCGTCATGTTTGATGTGCGTGCCTTTTTGGATCGAGTTTGGTAGTTTGAATTTGTCAAGAGGGGCCCGTGACCAGTGCTTGCCTCAGAAGCTTTCAGACATCGTCAAAAACCATCTGGATAATTAAACTAAGGAGTCTTGGATCGTTGATCTCCTTGAATTGTTTTCTGGACTGCTAGGTGTGGGTTCTCATCATGGGCACTGTGTGTGGCACCTTCAGCATTCTTCAATGCGATCAGTTTTGTCCTTTTTGATTGTGCACGCGCAATCCATTTCGAGGTTGCGTGGAAGACCCTTCCGAGACCGCAGGGAGCAAATTTTGGTTGAAATGCTCATTTGCTGTAGCTTTTTGTTTTGTGTTTATGTCCAGGACATCATCCAAAATTGACCTGGATGAGAGGGAATCAGCAGCATTTGATGGAGCCTTGCACTTGGTCTTAGACAGCGTAAAATCTAAAGTAAACACTCCATTTCCAGATTTTGCCTAGGAACCAGCGTCAGTTGCCCAGTGGGTTCCGTTGAGCAGAGACTCTTGGAGTTTCTTGCCTTTCTATATAGATGAAAGCGTTCTACATCAGGCGAGGCCTTTTGGAAGGATTGAAAGGCCACTGGACCCGAAAGGACTGTGGAGGGAATGCCGCGAAAGGATCGCGTTTGAAACGCTGCGTGTTTCATGTTTCGCAGGAGGATCGCATGTCTTTGGGCATCATCTCCGGCAATAGTATGGTTTGGGAAGCTGCATACAAACACAAGCCGAGTCCATTGTGGGAGGCGCTTCCTTTCTTTTTCTCGGTGCGCCTGACCGATGTGAGGTGAAAGACCGTCCGTATCTTTTCCACTCGCATGAGGTGTCTGGAGACCAGATCAAAATGAGTCTTGGTGGAGAAGAACATCTCGGAAGAGCATCGTTGGTGGCTAAGCCGGGACTGTATACATAGTGGATTTTCCATATCAGTGCAGTCAACCTGCCAAGTAGATCCTGGGAAGGTCCGGGCATGTCAAGAGAGATTGTTTGTTCATTTTGAGCCCTCAAACTGGTTTCTATTTATGCAACAGGTTACGGGAGATCAGAGAGCTTCCCGTCCGCAATGGCAATGAGATCTGATTGAGGCTGAAAGACTCTGAGATCGTATGGGAAGACGGTGAGGCAACGAAAGTCAAGAATCTCCTTAATGCCCTGGCTGTTGTGTTATGGTTGTGTTGTGATTTCAACGACATTTTGCAGGTGTGGATACGAAAGTGAGACTTGAGTGTGGTGGCCGATTCGACTTGCCACTGTGTTATGCCACTTCTTTTGGTGAATTGGTAGAGGACATTTTGTTCAGCCAAGCAATTTCAGGAATGAAGAGTCAGGCAAGTGTCTTACTCATCGTGGCTGTCCCTTTGTTTTCACCCATGAGCCAAAGCAGCTCTGGACTTCAGAAAGAAAGGAGTTGTTGAGGGAGAGGACGCTACTAGGAGCAAAGGGCATCGCTACTAGGAGCAAGGACGCTACTAGGGGCTCCTGGCCTTTCTACTAGGAGCAAGAAGCTACTAGGAGCAAAGGGCATCCCTATGAGGGAGACAGCACTCCAGGCAGACTCCGATCTCTCAGCCATAGCCATGACATGAGCACCGGTGTCAGTATTCCAAGAGGGTTCCAAATGTATGGTCTTTGCGAACTATCTATCTATCTATCTAGTCTAGTCTAGTCTAGTCTAGTCTATGCTAGCCTAGCCTAGCCTAGCCTAGTCTAATCTAATCTAATCTAATCTAATCTATATATATCTAGAACACTTGCAATCATTTTCAGCTTTCACCTTCTTAGCAGCTATATTGACATTGTATTTGTTTTCATACATGAATAAACTACCAAGAGGAATGCAGCACTGCAGGGCTGCACCACATGGCCGTGCCAGACTTCAATACATGGAGCTGTTCTGAAGTCTCCGAGACGAGCTGAGGGGCATATTGAGATGAATCTGCCAAGATGTCGGGACTGGAGTTTTTTATGGATGGTGGAGCGACCTTTGCAGGACTCCTCTCTGCAGGAGCCGCACTTGTCGGTTACAAGCAGCAGAAAGAAGATGACTCCGAACTTGTGGATGATGAGGAGGAGCTGGAGCGTTTGCGCAAGAACCTAGGTGAAGCTTGTATTTCGGCATGTGCAGCTCATTCCGCGATCACAGCAGCTTGGGGGCAACCTCTTTCTCTCTTCAAAGCAGAAGGCAGCCAACTTCAAGTTCAGTGGCTCAAAGTTCTGGAATTTGCCCAAGCCTTGGTTGAAAAGGCTGCAGAGTTGGAAGATTTGGCTGACGTCTACGATGCACAGTTGCATTTGGCCATTACTCAGCATCGAAGCCTGCGAAGGACTCCAGTGCATGTGCTGGAAGGCAAGTTGGATGAAATTAGTTTGCTTTTGACTTCGCAGATTCCGGCGGTCGTTTTTGCCAAAGAAGCCAATACTCATGGAGACGTGACTAGACTTCAGTCCGCCTTGGCAGCGAGATGCCACCAGGCGCGGTTTTCTGGGGCTTTCTTGCGGGAGGAAGGTTGTATTGATGACACAAGGATTGACACAAGAATTGAATAGCGGAATAGCAGGTATTCAGTGGTTCTGCATTCTCTGTTGTTCACGAGATGGCCTCCAAGGCTTCAAAAACATGGATTGGCTCGAAACCCCTGTGTATTGTCCGATATCAGGTATGTTCAATCTTTTTGGAAGCACCGTAACTATTGATAAATCCGTCACTGTTTTTTCTCAAGCAATTTTCGCGGCGTTGAGTTTTCCTGTGCTGGTCTGTGCAATTGCACAAGTGCACGGTGATGGGCTGCTGACTTAGCAGCTGGAGTGACATCGCAGCCCTTTCGCCTTTCTTTGTCCAGGCAACTTCCCTGTTGACTTCTTTTAGTTTTGTTTTCTGTCAAATAGATGCTGCGTCACTCCGCGTCCTCAATGCCCCTGGCGTGTCGGCATGATGGGCAACCTTTAGTGCCCTCAGCTTCCACGTTCAGCTGTTCTTCCTTGCTGGGTGCTCCGATCGTCAGTGCAGTGGGCACTGCAATTGTGGTTCACTTTGCCCAGTCCTTCAGAAGCGGCTACAACCGCCAAACAAACAGAAGGACAAGAAGGACGCTGCGATGTGGTCCTCCACGCTGCGTAGAGTCCACCACCTGTGCCACAGAGGCTTGTTGTGCCTCGACAGAATGAGAAGATGGGTTCAAGGGTGGCTCAAGGGTAGTCAAGGCTCGACTGTGGATCAAGTCACAGCACGGCTGCAGAGCTATAAAACGTGGTACATGTCATGCAGAAGCGACCTTCATGCTGGTTCAGAGTATCTCAGGTAAAAGTGGGTGCAATGGAAGATGCATGGCAGCCAAAGATTCAAACAAATCCACACTTGTCTCAGTGGTACACATTGTGCTGACAAACCTTGAGGACTTTCCACTGCGAAGAAGGAAACGAAGTGCACAGAGGACCTGCAACGGAGCACGTGGACAAACACATGTATCTAAACTTAAGGCATTTGTAATGTTTGGAAAAAATAAAATCATTTTTTCAACGAAGAGGAGCACGACAACAGTCTTTGGCAGCCTCGAGGTAGCCTTGAATTCGTTGCAAACCTTGCGCCTTGGATTTGGATGTGCCGAGAGTCCAGCATTCCAAGAGAATACAGCGTTCATTGATTTAGAGACAAGTGACTTGGCTTGTTTCGCTTCCTTACACAAGGTGGAGCTGCTTTTGCCTGGTTGGATCATTTCCAAGATGGAGAAAATCACCGAGAAGGAAACCTCCACATCTTCTGGCCTGCCTGCGACACTTGACAGAATTCGTGAGACATGTCAACCAGGAAAAGTGCCGAGTGCAAGTGTGTTTTTGTAAGTTTGCTTCAACAGTGTTGGGAATGACCAAACACCTTGCGATATGACCTCCATGTTGATTTTTGTGTGGTTTTCCCACAGGCTTTGGGACCTCCCTCGCCAGGTTCATTGAGCACTCCAAGGTGGTGACCAGCTGGGAGGTTCCAAGACAGCGCTCCTTTGGAGCTCACCTCCTGCGGCAGACGGCCTGAGCCTTAGTGCATTCAGACGGCCTGAGCCTTGTGCGTTTTGAGCTTTCTTAGATATTGTTCCTAGTAGCGATGCCAGGAGCCCCTAGAAGCATCCTTGTTCAGCTTGATTTTCTTGGAACAAACATCCGTCCCCTCAGGTCATGTTTCAGAATCTCTATTGCTCTTGTGACTAAAAACGTTTCGTTGTGTTTCTGAAAACTGAATGAAGTGAAATCGAGATGATGCGTTTCTATGTGGCCATTGGGCCATTGAGGTTCCAAAGCCTTTAGCTCGGCTCTTCCGCGCAATCCTGAACTGGCTCAAGACTTGGCCCGATCTTCACAAACGCGCAATCAGGCCACAGCTACTGTGTATATTTTCTGGTCAACACATTTCGGATATCCAAACTGCTTGTGAAGATCAGTTCGTTTAGACTTGGTCAGGTTTGGTTCTGCTACAATAGGGGCTGCGACTTCCCATTGGCTCGTTGGCAAGTCCCGTATTTTGTCAAAGGAGGAGGACTCAGTGCGACCAAATGAGAAGCTAATCAAATCTCCGAATGTCTATTTTTTTGCTTTGTTCTATTTGAGGAGCAGACTCTGGTGCAGAAGCTACGGCAAGACGGAATAGATGTGGCACCTGATGCTGTTATGCTTCTTCAAAAGCGCGGTATTGCAAAGCAAGAAAGTTGAAATATGCACATTTCACAGAACCCAGACCATCATGGAATTGCAGACGTTGTAGACTTCACTGAATTTTTCACGATTCCAACCTCCATCGAAGCTTTTGCAGGTGCAAATTCATTGAAGAATGCGGTGGGTGCAAAGATCTTTGCCTGAACGTTTGCAAAGCTGGCACCGAAGAATACATGACAACAGAATTGGATTTTCCTGTGCGACACCCGACTGCAGTTGGCCAATGCTCCAGCTTGAGCGACGATTCTGAAGGTTGGGGATAGTACATGTGAACCATGAGATCTCAGGCATGATGCCAAACTTCAAGGATCATAGCTGCACCATCTTGTTGATGGAGCAGCCAGTGCCACCCGATCCTTGACAGCATTGATTGACTGTCCAGGACATGATTGTAGATCCTTTTTTCAGCGAGTTATGCTCCTTCCCATTGGAGAGCCGGCGGGCACCATTTTGATCACGCCAGGAAGAAGATCCACTCTTCAAACAGCCATGTGGTGCTGAAGCTTGTGACAAGAAATTTGCAATGCCAAGAACTCCACGAAGCGTCTCACAAAAAGTGCAGCTGAGCTCTGCGAGACCACAAAAACATCAATATCCAGCATGCGCTCGTGCCAGACGAGAGTTGTGCGTGATGGACCTGGATAAAGCATGGTGCAAATAGCGTGGTCATCTAAAGAAAATCTTATTGCATGTAAGACCTACATGGTCAGGACAGTGAGGCTGAGGGCAAATCCTTGACAGCCTCCGAGGACAGCAGTCGAGCATAGAGAAGTCCAAATGGGGAATCTACATTGGAACAGTAGATGATATAATCAGTGAAGTCGAAGTACAAGTTTTTAGGAGTTGCCCTTGGCCATCCTACAAGATCGGAAGCTTTTAGGCGCGCATTGAAGGGCTCGTGCCTGTGATTCAACAACACACTCTTCCGCACTATGCATAGCAGTGATGCATCGACATGAGTACTTCATGACCCCATTCCTTAGTACAGCGGACATGAACTTAAGTTTCCCGAAAAATCTAGTCACCAAATGAATAGTGTGAGCACTTCTTCTTCAAGGACCCCACCCTCACCTTGAAGAAGCGTGAGCTATCCTGCGTCCATACTAGTAGCTACTTGTTAGCTGCTAGTTACCTCTTCTACTAGCTACCTAGCCAACCTACCTCCTCACCTCTACTAGCGGCTTACCCCCACAAAAACAACAACAACGACGACGACGACAACAACGACAACGACATTTGTTCTCCCATTGCAGGCGAATTGTGGCGAGTTGGGCCAGGGCGAATGGAAGTGCTGGCACGAGCTATTGCGCGACGCACTGGCAGGAACAAAACATCATTCACATGTTTGCAATCTTTTTTTCTGCATGGTCAGGGCTTTCACCTTAACACTTTGCTGAAGATTGTGATTACTCTTGACAACTCCGCATTAGGACGCCCATGCCAGAGGCAGGAGTTGATGTAATGAGTGTGTTTTGTATTCTTCGAACATTGCTTGATGTATCTACTATGGGACCATGGATGAAGGAGTCCATCTCAAAATGAGTGGCAATTGAAACAATTCCATGCTGAATGAGTGCCATGAAGGTGTGACAAAAGTGCGAAGAGCAGAGAACAAAGCAAAAAGACTTTCACTAGTCGACTGGCAGGGTCCTACAGAATACTCCTCTTATGTGGCGGACTACTTGTGAGGGCGCGGAGCGGGAGCGTGTGGAGCGGCTGACTGGAAGGGGTCGCCGTGTGCGTGGGAGCTGGGAGAAGCAAAAAGGTTGCGCGCAGCAATGGACAGCCTGTCGGGAAGGTCATGCATTCTGCAAGAGTCAGTCTTTTTGACAAGCTTTGTTACTTTGCAGCTGTGATTGGGAATGCGGTACTGTCAAGAAGCAGCGAGGTAAATGTTCCAATCAGACACATGTGACTACTTACACCAACATGAAGTGCAGAGCAGAAGACAGGCCTGTTACTACTCGAAATACACCTGCATCGAAAGGACAGAGTTTCAGCGTGAAGCACCATCAAGTCAGCTATGGGGGAAAAGGCAGACGACAGCAACATAACGTTCCTGGGCATTGAAGCTATTCAGCTTTGCAGTGAAATCATGGTTGCGCCATTAGTACAATCTTCACCACACTTTGCTTGGCTGCCAAGGTTTCAATTCACAGGAGAGGATCACACACTGGGAAATTCTCTTCGCTACATGCTCATGAAGGATCCAAATGTTGAATTTGCTGGCTACACCGTGCTCGGCCCAGCTCACAAAAAAGTGTTGAAGCACGCTGACCTGTCATGCTCTACTGAAACTAGTCGGTTTCGTTGGACAAAGTTGTTTTTGCATGGGAGGTGCCTCATCCTTCTGAGCCGAAAATGAACGTTCGAGTGCAGACTCATGGAACGCCGGCAGATGTGTCTCGGTGGCCTTCGAAAATGAAAAATACACAATTCTTTTGCGTCGGTTTCTACCACACTGTATCATTGTCTGGGCCTAGGCAGCTGTAGAGCGCGCCCTGAAGAACATCTCTTCAGTTTGCGATCATGTGATAGACTTAGACCAATTCTAATTTATATATTCAATTCAAAAGAATTCATTTGCCATATTTGCAAGGTCTTGGCGACATACAAAGCAGCAAGAATTGAACATAAATCGAAAGGACGATGATAAATACAATATTATTCTCGCGACTATGAATATGTATGATGTTCAAATCGATAAATGCCAAAATTTCTTCAAGATCGTACATTAATTTGATGTTTTACTTTTTCGCCGATTGGATCCGATTGGTTTTTGAAAAGAATATAATATATATATATATTGAATTTCTTAATTTAATATTAATTACGAAAGCGAGTTAGAAGGAGTTTAGCGGAAATTGTTGTTTATGAAATATGGTGAGGTTTAAAATTGAAAGGTTTAATGGGAGGGATTAACCGAATCCTTTTTTTAAAGTTAATTTTTAATATAGTTATTAATTGATATTTTAATTACAAATTGAAACGTTTAGGGGGGACGGTCTTTTTTTTCTTGGAAAATGAATTGAAAGAATTTATTCGATTTTTTTTTCGTTTTTATAAAAAAGGATATTAAATATTTAGAAAAGATAATATGAAAATCGATTTTCTTTTAAATATTCGGTTGATTTTATTAATAATATTTTGCATTCGTAATATAAAATAATATATTACAATATTAATTTTTATATTCATTTTTTTGTTTTATATTTTTTTCGTTTTTTTTTAATTTTTAAATATTTTGTTTATTATTATTTATTATTATCGATTTTTAATAGAATATATCGTTTTATATTGGATAGATAATTTTGATATTATTTTTATTTGATATTTAATATATTATTATATATAAAAATATATTTTAAATATATAGAAATTCGATTTATATTACATAAATTTAAAATACTATTTTAGCCTCGAATTACGGTAATTAATTTTTTGTAGATTTTGATGCCATTTCTTTGCCTTGTGCTCTGGACTTTTTGACCATTGATGATTATTTTGTTTTGGTTGCACTTTTTTCTGTTAGGACTGAGGCTGATTTCCTTGATCCTAAGTCTAGGGCCTATGGATGCTAATGTAGCGCCATTTATACCGAAAGGCACCATGGGTGGCGTGAGGGTTATCCGGGATTCTTCACTCCCGGATGAGAATGGAGGCCTATCTTTTACTCTATATTAGAGCTTCTCCACAAAGCCTTCAGAGGTTTGGGCCTTAGGAGGCTACGGCCTTGTCGTCTCTCGGCCGCGCATTGTTTTGATCAAGAGATTATATAGGCGAGCCTGTTTCCGTGCCTTGCAACATGGCTATACGCCTTATCGTAAAGGCTACCTTTTTGCCGCAGATGTGCCTTGGCGCCTTCGTGAAGCCTATAGACACCTCTCGCAAGAGAAGCTGAAGCAGCGGACACCACAAACGACTCCTGGCATTCGATGCATGACCTGGAATGCTTCGAAAAACTTGGTGCATGACGAGTTGTTGCATTGGTGCAATTCTCAACCTCTGGACATAATAGTATTACAGGAAATTGGATGGAATTTCAACTCCACCTGGACGTCCCAGGGATGGCATTGTATCCATTCCTCGACGAAATATACAGCCATTTTGGTGCTCATACGCTGCACCCTGGCCAGACCGGAACAGATTGCCACGGCCTCTCACTCTGATGGCCGACTCCTTCAGACCCGTCTCTTTTTGGACTGCACATATAACTTCATCGTTGGGTATCAATACGCCTGGAATGCTACCAAAGGCCGTGAGCAGCTCCTTGAGCATCGTGCCAAGATTTGGACTAGCTTGCAACAATTTTTAAAGCAGCACCAGATGGTTTTGATGGGTGATTTCAACACCACCCTTAAGTTCGATCCGCCGCACATCAATAGCCATGATGCCCGTGCATCCATGTGCACTCACACTGATCGTGACCTTCTTCAGCAATTGACGAGAGCACAAGACCTGATTGCCTTGCATTGTAAACAGCATTATGCAGCAACCTTCGAACATGGTTCACATCATTCCCGTATTATTATGTTTTTGTTCGACAACATCAGGCTCAATTTCGCCGCATGCAACCCACCATGGATAGGAGCTTTATGCGCAACTTTGGTTGTCATGGACCTCATCATCATCCATTGTTCTTTATCCTGCCCAGGTGGTTTGCGCCTCGGAAACCAGTGCTCCCATTAAATAACATTGATAGATTTGCCATTCGTACGGCTAGACTCGAGCACACTGATCACTGGCAGCAATTCGAGGTTCAGATTCGTCAATGCATTGCCAGACACTCTCCACCTCACCAACCGCATGAGGTCTCCATGCACGCTTTGGAACAGGAACTTAGAACTATCTGTTCTCGTTTCTTTCCCAAACGGAAACCACGGGTCCCTCATGCACCGCATATCCCCTCCATGGCTGCCAGGATGTGGAATGCCCGCAAAAAGGCTCTAGCTGTTCGAGGACGCACCATTCGCGATCTCTTTGAGTGTTGGGCTCATATCACCATCTTCAGAACCCTCCACAAAGCCATTCGTAAACAGAATCGACAGAATAAGAGGAATAAATTGCACACGATCCTCATGGACGCATTTTTGACTGGTACAGGAAGATCAGGCTCCTGTGTCCGAAACAAAGACCGAAACGAATCCAACTCTTTGATCCTCATGGCATGCCATTAGCACCAAGACAGGAGTTGGAATCCATTGAAAGGTATTACACCCAATTGTTTGCTAATCCGAAGTTTGATGCCCAGGATCTCGAACCCCTTACTCGACTTCCCTTCGACCGCCAGGATGTGCTCACTGAGCTGTTGCACCTGCCAAGTACTAAAGCCCTGGCACCAAACGGATTGCCAGCTCTAATCTGGAAGCATTTCGCGCATGATCTTGTTGATCCATTAATGCATCAGATTCAGCAGGTTTGGCTTCGATATCCCGTAACCCTTCCGGATCATTGGACAACAGGATGGATCCACCTCCTCACTAAACCCAATAAACCTCCAAGCAAACCCCAGGCACTCAGACCGATCTGCCTTCAACACCCGGTCAACAAGATATTTGCCGGAATCCAATGCAGGCAAATAGTTCTGCAGACATTCGACAGACTTAGATGTCTTCCACTCTATGCGTATTTGCCTCAAAGAGGAACACGTGAATGTCTTCTCATAGTAGCTGAACATTGTAGAAGTGTACGCATGATGTGCAAGGATGTCAAGACTAGTACTCAGCCTAAGCTGCTTGGAGGCCTCCAGGTTTCATTAGATATGGAAAAGGCTTTTGACACGGTCAGTCGAACCTTAGTGCTTAGAGCCTTGAAGTTGTACCATTTGGACTCTAACCTCTTTCAACTTGTGCATTCGTGGCTCACCCCCCACAAGTATTGTATTCCCTTCAAACAATTGATCGGACAAATCCAGGCATATAGGGGAATCAAACAGGGGACCAAAGATGCCCCCTTACTGTGGACACTCACCATGAGCCTCGTACTAGTTGATCTTCAGACCAAAAACTCCCACAAATGGCTCCATGAGCACATGGTCGTCTACGCAGATGACATCCACCTTCGGTGGGTAATTCGATCGACAGCCCAAGCCCTTGAAGCGCTCACCGACCTCCAACATGTGTTGATGACCCTTCAGGCTTTCGGGCTTAGTGTCAACCTTCATAAGTCAATAGCCATGCTTCGACTCCAAGGGAAAGAGGCTCCTGCCTTCCTTCGTCACTGGGTCAGTCGGCCTACCTCTGGCCCTGTGCGGAATCTGCCCGAACGACGTTGGCAGCTGCCGCTCGTGTCGAAAACAGCGTACCTTGGTGTCATCATAGGGTACAGGGCATGGGATGCAGACACCACTGCCCGTAGGATCACTGCCGCCAAATGGTGCTTCCGCAATCTCAGGTCCTGGCTTATGAGTGATGTCCACCCAATTCGAACCAGACTCAAGTTATACAAGCAATGTGTTCTGGCCACGGTTCAATATGGCATTCACGAAATAGGTTGGACTCAAAAGGGATTTCGATAGCTCATCAGCATAATCAACACTCATCACCGGACGATTGCACGCTCACCTGTGTGTCTAACTCATGAGTCCACAACACATTTCTTTGACCGCATTAATGAACCATGGACCACCATCCTCACACAAAGAAGGCGGATTCAAGAGGCCCTGTCGACCAGACGGGCACGCCTCCGCCTTGAAGCCATGGACAGCGAGATGCCGGATGTGTGTGTGTGTGTGTTTGTCCCAGATCTCTGGATTGAACCATTGGTCAATCCACCTGATCATCAATCCACCATAGATAACACTCAGACAGTGGCCTGTCCGGAATGCCACCGAAGCTTCCAGCAGGCAGGAACCCTGAAACGACACATGAGACAAGTTCATCAAGTGCCGTATGAGCCCGACGACATTGTTCATATGTCTTCGTTGATTTCTACAGACTTCGTGACCATATTAATAAGCATACATGTCTTCGCTTTGATCCCGCACAGGAATTGATCGTGCCGATCATCAACAGACCAGATCTCAAAATGCATTTGCGCCACAAGTCTGTCTCAGGTCTCTTGTTGAACACGGCTTTGATCAATGAGATTGCCAATCATTGCACTTTTTGTCACATGCGGATTGCCGCTCGCTCGATTCGAAAGCACTTCACGGAATGCCATCCGGACCTGGTTCCATTAGCTGAGCATTTTCGGGAGCATGTTCATGGGATGGCCAACATTGGAGGCGGTCGAGGTAGATGCAGCTTTTGTGACAGTGAATGCCGGGACACCCGGTCCCATGAATGTGGGGTCCTTTTTCAGATCTCGATCATGATGGGCCTTATCTTTCAGCCTGAACATTTCCCCATCATGCCAGTCATGCAGAAAGCCTCACGTTCAGCCACTGATGCATCTAGTTCGATCTCCATCCCACCGCCGCCCTCGGCCATGCCAGGACCCCCCACGGCTGTTCCAGCCATGCAGACGAGGCCTGAACCGGACGACACTCGGGCAGTTGAGGTCGATGATCATGCACCCTCCCCTCCCTTGTATGCCTGTCCGCATTATCACACCAGATTCCTGACAGCAACGGGTCTTGAGAAACACCTGTCGACTCATGGACATGAAATACAGGCTGATGGCCAGATCGTTCGTGCAGCCAAGATCCCAAAACTAGACACAATTCCGACAATGTTGAACGAATCTTGCCAGCATGTTGACGCTCCTTCGAAATCATTCCAATGCCCACTGGGTTTGGAAACGGTTGTGAAAAGAGAACATCAGGTTGTGAAGCCACCATTCTTTGCCTTTAGGCCCAGCAGAGACATGACCCCAGGAAGACTGGCCTGTGCACACTGTCATACCACATACACGTCAGAAGCTGCACTTCGTTTGCATTACCAACGTGCCAACTGTCCAATTCTGCTGATTGAATGGGTCAAGGACCAACATTTTGGCCCCTCCATTAAGACATCCGCTCCGCCTGAGGTGCACGACTCTTTGGACCCTGCAGCATTGCGTTCGACCTCCATACCAACCTCAGGAAGGCCTATCCTGGTCGTCCGTGCCCTATGCATGCCTGCAGACACTCCGGAATATACATGCGATTTGTCCTGGCCTTTGTTGACCACAGCCTCCAAGCTCTATGCATCCGGTTGGCATGTTCCTTTTTGGCCAGAATTCCGATTGAAATGGTTCCATGATTTCGTCCATTGGATGTCTCATTTAACTGACCTTCCGCATCTCGACCTTGAGGTCTCCCTGCATCACCAGCTTTTGACCTTTTGCACGCTGGTGACACCGTGCCATTGGGCTTGGGACTCAGCGGAACAAGAGCTCCTGCAGTACACAGACATTATTTTTCATTCGACAGCCTGGATTCAGCATTTTCATTTCCAAAGCCTGTTGTTTGAACTAAAACACGTACTGGCCCAAGACTGGTTTCATCGGTGTCTTGCACTCGGCCTCAGAGATGGAACGTATGAGCGGAGACGATCAATCTTTTGCAGAGCTGATGGATGTTTGTGGCAATCACTTTGCAAAACGTCCCAGAACGGAGGAGGAGGACAAGTCATCAGACCGCCGACCTGCACGAAAGGGACAGAGGATGCCTTCGCGCTCCTCGGCTTCGGACTTGGGAGAAGATGGCAGCTTGATCTCAATGACAGCAAAGCTGACACTTCGTCAGGAAGACCAGCTGAATCAGATCCATCTCGACAAAAGCTTTATCTTCTTTGTCCAAGCAGGAAAAGGCAACATTCTGCCACTGATGCTGAAGACCTCCACGGACTGGCATAGGCAACGGGAGTCGGGGCAGGTCACCAACTCGTTGAGGCAACATATGTTTCGTTCAGTGTTCGAGGAGCTGGCATTCCGAGCATCCAAACTGCCCTTCGGATCAAACGATCACGAACTGATCCGAGCATTTCAGAACAAGCAAGTATTGACGGCAACCACCTCATGGAACTACCTTCAATGGGACTCCAAAGAGAAGACTCTGAAGCCGGCAGCCCGGGATCCCCTCCCCTCAAAGGAAGCCGCAGCTTTGATCCAGAAGATTCACACTCTAGCGGCTCAGGCGGACCTGATCCATCGGTTCTCAGCGCTGAAGCCTATGCCACAGGATTCAACAGTGGACTCTGTGGTCGTGCCCTGGAGACTCGACATCTCCCTGAGGGGCCAGGCGGCACAAGAACTCTACGATGCCCTACAGCGATTGACAGGCAGCGGGCTTACGCAGATGATCTTAGTTCGAATCCGACCATCGACATTGCAGAGGTCACCATTGGCTCAGGCCATTGCCGCTCGCTTGATGAAATGAGGAAAGCCATTTTGGCACTTTCTTTGGGGAACGGCTCCAACATTTGCTACATGAATGCAGCATTGTTGGCTGAGCTTTGGGCCTGCTGCATGAATGACACCTTTGTCTGGCATGAGGTTGGCGAATGGAAAGATCCTTTGATTCGACTGCTCTCGAGCAGCACCCAACATCGGGTACTGACTGACACCAGCTGTTTGGGCCATTCTTTGAACTCATGGTTCACGAATCATGAGCCGGGGATACAGCAGGACTCTGCTGAGTTTGTTGGCTGGCTTCGACAGGCCATGCACGGGGATGCTCATGGTGGTCAATCCACCTCCATGTGGGAGGCAAAGCTTGAAGCAGCCACTGAGGATTCAGGCCACTTGTACGCTCCGATCCTCCTTCAACAGACAAAAGATGGTGATTGCACGATTCAAAATCTGATCAACTTGTGGCATGAACAAGCACCATTCCACTGTGGTTTTTCGGCCGGCACGACCACTGTATGCCTACAGGTGAATAGGTTTCCTGCCATGGATGTTCGGTCTCCCCAGCCATTTCGATGGAATAGAGTCAATGTCCACTTGCCATGTTTCGTCAATGCACATAGCTGGACAGTCCACTGGAAACGTTTTGACATAGTTTCCGTCGTGGTCCACCGAGGCGCTGAACCATATTCCGGCCACTACCAAGCCCGCCTTAGGACTGGAGGTTGCCGCTTCCTGACTGATGACTGGAGTCGAGCCATACCATGCGCTCACACAGCAGACCTTGAGCATGACCTATATCTCCTTTGGCTCGTTGATAGCACACATCTCAGGAGCGCCTGGAGTTCCCTTCTTTCCTGCAACCCTTTTGTGCCTTTTTCGAGCAGCCAAGAGTACTGAACAATGCCGCCCGGGGCAAATGATGCGCTAGACGCAGCCAATCTACGGATTGAAGCCCAACACGGGCAGAGCTCTCTCTGCCGGAAATGAATAATAATAATACATAAATTTATGAAATATATATATTTAATTTTATTATAAATTTATAGTATTATTTAGTGAAATTTGTATTTATTTAGGATATATATTATTAATTAATAGAAACTATTTTTTATGTTAATTTTAATAATTAGATAGGGAATGGGTCCGATTTTTCCGATTTGAATGAATGAGGGGGTGGGAAAATGGGTAGCGAGATCTAGGCAATTGGGAGGGTTTTGCTTTTGGAGTGCATGGTTTTTGCGTTTAATATTTGAATAAGTGTTTTTTACGTAATATTGTATTTAGAATTATTGTGGAAAACTTTGGAGAATATAATTTATGGAATGCATTTGGAAGTGAAGAGAATATATTCCTGGTGTAATGTAACTAGATTTTTAGCTCGATACTGGGACTTCTAATGTTTCGAATCGGAATTGTTTGCAATAGGAACATTTTCTGGCCTTTTGTATTTGATTTTGGCTTAAGGTGGGGGAGAAAATGGCGTGTGTATGGGTGTGTGTATTTGCTTTGCTTGTGAGTTGTTGCGCGTGCTGTATCTTGGGTGTTTATCATTTTGTAATCTGCCTCTTAAGGTAATAGGTTTTCCACGGAGATAGAACGAACTAAGATAATCGGTTCTTTCTTCTTTTTGTTTTTTCTTTCGGGGAATTGTTGCTGAATTTTTCGCAGTCGTTGTGTGTGTGAATGCGCGAACGAGGTTCCATACCCAACGAGGCAAAATGATTTCTTACCAATTTTCTCATGCTTTAAGGCTCAAGCAGGCCTTGATGGCATGTAGACTTTGAAAGGGGGTGTGGAATGTAGCTGGCTGGAATGGCAAGCCTTCACCAAAAACAATTTGAACCAATTTTTAATATGCTTTTTTAAAGAAAATATATATTTGCTATTTTTTTGATAATATATATATATTGTTTTTAAATTTAGATTTATTTTTATTGAAATTCGATTTTTTTGAATTGTATTTTAGATTTTTTATATTAATATTAATGATAAATATATTTTTTGATTGATTATAATATATATTGGAAATATATATCTATTTTATTGTTTAAATTATATTTTTAAAATATATTTTTAATTTTCTTTATCGATTAATATATTTGAATTATATATTATATATATTTTTGGCTGAAATATAATATTATTATCTTTATTGTTTAATATTGTATAAATAATTAATTCTTAATTATATGTATTCGATAATAGTTCTGGAGAGCTCGACGTTATGCGGGTGTGGTTTTTACGTGCTTTTGTGGTGTTTTTCTTAGATTTTGTCATGTTTAGTCAGAGTTTCCATGGTTATAGTCTAGATATGTTCTTGTGCTCTTGTTTCCTAAACCAAAAAAATTTCTTGTTAAAAAAACCTCTGGATCCAACTCTACCCTTCCTTGCCCATAAACATTCTCATTGTTTCAAAGGTAGCACTTTTTGGGCTTCTCCCTCCACATTCTTTATGAAATAGAGAGAAGATCATTATCTTGAAACACAATGTGTCCACCACGCCCAACAAAAATTGAGAAACTTGCTTAGTAGTACTGGACCTGGATGACTGATTGGAATTGGTTTTGCATGGCCTTCTTGACGTCCATACCCATAATAAGCTTCATCCTCATTCTCAGGGTCACTTGGGAGCTCACATCCTATCCCACAAGTTCGATTGGACCAATCCTGCTCCAGGCATTCCATGGACCCCATCCCCATCATTGACTGCCTAGCAAGTTTCCCTCTCACATGGTGCCCATATGTTCTTGGAGGACAATCAATGCCAATCGAAGCACCATCCATATTGTGCTGCTGTCTAGAGCATTTGCTCAATGGCTTGTATGGCAAAGCAATTTGCTCAAAGTCAGGCTCCCAATCTCTCGTGCCCAGGTGTTGCATCTACGCAACCGCCTTTGGTCCCAAATGGAATTGCACGCATACAGCCACAAGCCCAATGCCATCTCATCTCATCTCATTTCATCCACATTAGAAATTCCATTTTCCTATGCTCTCTAGCTATATGCCCATCTCTCTCTTTCATTGGATATCTTAAGCCATCAAATCAAGACAATCTTCCACACTCCATCATTGAGACCATACAATATAGGTATCCACCCTCACCACGTAGAGCCTACAATATATACAAGTGCTTGCAGGAGCAGACAGTTGTGTCTTCAAATAGACGAGAGGAATATAAGAAGTTGTGGTGGAATTGCTACTCTTACACAGGTAGCTATAATGAAATCAATAATCTTAACTATCTCTAGCACCTGGGCCACTTCCAGCTCGTGGAATTGACAATGAGTCCTCAATCTCCAGCAAGTGGGGCCTGGGCCTAGGCTTCTCTAGGGGGGGGCGCCCCCCCAAAAAAAAAATTGGTTGGTCCTGTCCAGGAGCCGTTTTTTTTTTTTTTTTGCCCCCCCCCCCCCTAGAGAAGCCCAGGCCCAGGCCCCAGTTGCTGGAGATTGAGGACTGATTGAGATTGGAGATCTTGGAGACCAGATCTCCCTCATAAAGGTGATGACCTGATGTTGTATGATGGGATGTCGTGGACTTGCTGATAGATGATGGTTGATGGACTTCTGTGTGGGAAAATCAATGAGAACTAGTATGTTTTAATCAAATTGATGAGAAATTTGATAGATTGCAAGTCGACATTTTTGCTAGACACGTTCTTCAAAACAACTAACATTTTCAAAAAACACAGAAAACCACAAATCACAAAAACGCGTAAAAACCACACCCGCATAACGTCGTTTTCTGGAATATTATTGATATATTTTATATTTATTAATATTCAATTTTTGAATATAATATTTAGAATTGAATTTCCTCATGAATATTATATATATATTATATATTATTCTTTTATTTCGATAAATATAGATTTATTAGACTAGATATTTGACCTAACAAATATTAGATTAAACATTTCATTATAGACATTCATTGATTGATATAGATATTTCTTGAACTTTACAATCTCAATCAAAGATTCAATTATTTTTATTTGTCTTCAAAAAAGACTTTTACTATTAGATCTCATACGGATTTTCGGAGATACATTAAATTCAAAGATTATCTATTTTTAGTATTATTATTAAAATTCAATTTAATTAATGATAAAAAATATATTATCCGATAACGATTCAAGTGACCAATATAATAAATCAAATACAGGGGCATAAAAAACCCGACCAAAAAAATAATCGGGGGGCAAAAGATACCCAATAACATTCAATATAGATTCCATAGAATCGTATATAAAGAATCCAAGAGACGCGTCCTTCAGGTGAACCAATTATATCGCCCGAAATAAAGATACGAAAATGACCATCGAATCCATATTTGTCAATGATCACGAAGAACTTGAATTCCTCCAAAGAATAAAACAACCTTGATTAATCTTCATTCAATCAATAACCTCAATCATAGTAAGTCGACATCGGAAGATCCCCCGGATGTGCCATTTCCTCTTGTTGTCCTAAATAGTGGAACAGGTACGGAAGTTTGCGTCCAAACATTTTTTTCAGTTGATTTCCATAGCTTCATTGGCGTGGCTAGGAAATCGACCGTCACGCCCCCTGTTCCAAACCTAAAGGCACACACACTCCCACTCACACTCAAACTCACACTCTCACTCAGACTCTCACTCTCACTCTCACTCTCACTCGCACGCACACTCACACTCACACTCACACTCACCCACTCACTCAGCACCACCGCCGCCGTCACCACGATCCCCACCTTCATCACCACCATCACCTCTCTGGACCCCAATGCGTCTAGATCTCTAGACTTATCAAAAAGACCGACCAACATTTCCCAATTTCTGGAGCAAAAAAAGACTTGGGCCTGATTTTGCCCTAATTGCCGCAATGTCTGTTTTATAAATAAATGCTAACTTTCCCAAACCTAAATCCCCATATTTTCCATAACCAATAGGATGAAAATAATTCTTGGAAAAATCTATTCTATTGAATTTCAACGTGCTAAATTTTGCTACATACGTATGCCGCAACCGCTACCAACATTTATTAGCTAACC